AAATAGATATTAATTTACTAAATCTATTTAGGTGCTTACGTGGCAAAGAAATGTTCGGAAACGATGCCATAGCCATGTCGAGCCCTGGCCTGCTCCACCACATCCTTCCATTCAGATATCATCAGTGGCGCTACAGCCCATGTAGGGCCCTGGCCTGCTCCAGCACATCCTTCCACTCAGACATCATCAGTGGCGCTACAGCCCATGTAGGGCCCTGCCCTGCTCCACCACATCCTTCCATTCGGATCAATCCACGGCTTTCCGCCTCCACGCGTGACCCCCCAACTTTCTGCTTCTGCCCAGTAGCGTTATAGCGCCTGCGTATGCCAGCCATTGCAGAACGTCTCGCTGTATAAAGTTCCTAATGGTTGTTGTTCTGTGCTACCTCTCTGGAGGCTACCTCTCGGAGGTAGTTTGCGATGGTTCCACTGGTTCTCCCATGTATGTTTGTGATGACGTTTTCCAGCGTGATGTTGAACAGAATACATGGGTCTCCTTGTCTGAGAGTACGATTAATTGGAAACTCCCCCGACTACCCTCCCTGTAATTTGATTCTACTTTTTGAGTTAACCATCGTCAGATTTGTGAGCCGGTTAAGGTTGTCAACGACTCCATGTTCTCGCACAGTAGTGGTTCTCAACCTTCCTAATGCCGCGACCCTCAGTTACTCATGGTGTGGTGACCCCAACCCAGGCGGGGGTACCGCGCTATATAAGACCTATGTAAAAATAATTATTATTTTCGATGCTACTTCATAAATATTTGTTTTCCGATGGTCTTAGGTGACCCCTGTGTAAGGGTCGTTCGAATCCCCCCCCCCCCCAAAGGTATCGCGACCCCCAGGTTGAGGACCCCTGGATCGTACAGGTATTATGGTCAAGACGATACTTTTTGCTCCGTGAGTTGTGTCATGAGCTGTATTGTTGTGGCTAAATAGTCATTGGAGGACACGCCTGAAACGGAAAGCAAAAGAAAAAAAAAAAAAAGATGTGTGTTGTAAACAAGACGTGAGATCGAGAGTTCAAGACTACAAAAACAGTTCACCGTGGAGAGTTCCCGAGAGAGTTAGAGAGTCACAGCGCGGTCCAATCACGGGGATAATTCGTGTTTGTGATGGTCTGTTCTTACATGGATATATTCCAACTAGGTGGATATGTGTGGCAGATACGAAGACATAAGATGAACCATATTATTATTTCATGAAGTGTTGGTGCGCTAGGATTATGTGTTCTTAATTCATAGGATGACGATGATGCAGTGCACCTCAGACAAGGAATAAAACACGAGGAAACCAATGCATCTGACAGGTTAGTGTTTATTATAATTTATCTTA